AAGAGTGAAGTGATAATCAACATTTGTAAGTCTAATTAATTAAAATTGTCAAAGAAGGGACTTCCCCGGTGGTCCAGTGGTTAATACTCCATGCTCCCAATGCAGGGGGCTCAAGTTTGATCCCTGGTCAGGGAACTAGATTCCTCATGCCGCAACTAAGAGCCCACATGCAGCAGCAAAGATCCCACGTGCCACAACTAAGACCCAGTGCAGCCAAATAAATAAATATTTATATAATTGTCAAAGAACTGGAGTTTTAGGAAATGTAAATCAGAAAAAAAAATTGAGTCATATGTAGAATTTAGTCCACAATGCAACTTATGGGTATTCCTAGGAATATCATAATTCACCGCTATCATTTTTTAAATTTCTTTTGTCTTTAGCACAATAATGCTTTGAAGAAATTGCAAGATATTAAATTATGGAAAAAGGAAGGAATTGAAAGTTCATTATGTTTTTCTCTTTTTCCCTGCCCCAAAGTTTAGAATGTTATTCATAAAAGCTTTCTGTACTCACATTATTTTTAAAGAAGTTTCTTTTTAAATTATAAAGCTAATACATTCTCATTACCAAAAATAAGAAAATATATACAACCATAATGAAGAAATAAAATACATCCATAATCACTTCATTCAAAAACTAAGTTCTAGTATATTAAGGTGGTTCATTCTAGACTTTGACCATATGTATATATTTTTCATTATGCTATAAGAAAAAAGCCCCAGTATACATACATATAAACCCAAAACTCTCACCAATGTTAAACAAATTCAGATACTAAATTCAGAAGCAACCAATACTTCAATTGCTGAATTCTGCATTATACAAATCACTAAGTTCAATAAAGCTCATCCCAGCTTCTATCCCCTTACATTTGTTAACTAGTCCAGTCACAGACTAGTGAATATACTTAATGCCACTCAGCTGAAACTTAAAAATAGTTAAAATAGTAAATTTTGTTATGTATATTTTACCACAATTTTTAAAAAGACAAAAAAAAAAAATCCCACAAGATTTTTACCTATAAGGTGTTTTTTTCCAACTCCTAGACTATAAAATCCTTTCTGTCTAAAATGTTCTGATTAAATGGTTTCCCTGGTACTAAAAACTTCCAAAACCTGATGCACAAATACTTATAATACTGTTTTTCTACCAAACATTTAAAAAAATATTCTGGAATGTTAAGAGTGCTCTTAACTCTAGTGTTATAAGCAAACTAAAAAGGTGCTTTAGTAGCTTTTCCCCATCCCATAACTTGAGATGGAGTCCAGGAGTTTAGAAGTGCACAAGTAAACAGCAGTGAGCAGGGTATCTGCTCTAGAGGAAATGTAATTAAAAGTGCACAGAGTTAACCTACTTCACTAGGCAAATTAATTTTTTTTAAACTTATAAATGAAAAGAAATACAATAGAAAGATGTCATCTGAGTATTATCAGGGATCTGATGTTGCAATACACAGCTTATATATTTCAAATATCCACGGCACCATATGCATTTAGTCCAATTTTATTTCCAATTGTTTTCATTCAAAACCTGTATTAATAACTGCTTGATGTGATGGTTTTCTTCTTCAGATCTGTAGTTTCTTTCAATAAAATTGAAAGCCATATTATTGCTTAACACCTAAAATATATTTTGCTTAACTTTAAATCTACTCACATACACTCAGGCTAAAAATAAATGCTCTTCCACAAGTTAGGTTTGGGGGAATTTTGTAGGTTTTGTTTTATTTTTCAGTTTTAATTGGCACCATGAGAAGCAGCCAACTAGATCCTTTTTCAGTGTAGTCAAGGTTAACTTTTTCACTTCCACACCATGATTAATTTATCATGTGGTACCTTCCTATTAAACTGGTTTTTAGACTGTGAACTTTTCTTTCAGCTTCCAACAGAGGATTTCATTGCTTCAGGAATTGAGGTGTGTCTAAGTTTTTACCTGGGAGCAAAAGTGATGCAAGCATTTCTGGTTTAGGGTGGAGAGGACCTGCATAACAGGCTGTCTGCAGACTCCTGAAGACTCTTGATGTCCTGAAGACAGCAGAGACGCTGAGAGGGCTTTCCTTAGACATCGCATGCAGGCGGTTGGAAGGGCTAAAGCAGCAGCTCCCTTGGATTTGTTCACCAAGGAAATCAGAGACAATGGCTTGGCTCCTTTACAGAACCACAGGGGCTCTGGCCATTTTAACGGTAAGTCCTATTTTTTTCTAATAATTGCAAACTTTCCCTGTTTCCCTCCTTGTTAGAGAATGCTATATTTGACTGCTGAATCCCTATTATAAATTCTAAAAAGAGTTCAGTAGAAATAAAGATTTTAAAATGAAACTGTAAAGATTACCAATTTCCCCCTTTTGTTGCTTTTTTTAATGTTGTATTTTCACATAAGAAAATAAGGCAGATGATAGAAATGAATTTGAAAGTTGGCATTTAGCATTTCTTTAGGTAAATAATTAACTAAAGAATTAAATAATCCTGGTCTCAAGTCTATTTTCCACAACACCTTCTTCAAAGTAATGCTTTTATTCATCTTTTTATTTATGCTTTTATTCTAATACACAAACTAAAACACATAAAAGAGAACAAGCTCTATTTTCCAAGGTTTTATATCTCTTAAGCATATGGCTAAGAATTGTACATGCCTGGTCTTGATACCTGACATGTTTTTAAGTAGTCAAAGACCATGGAATTAGAATCAAAACAATGTTTGACTCTAGAGAAGTTGGGAGGGTTACTAAGAAAACAGTGTTTTATGTTTAGCCTTTATGTGCAAAAGACATCCAACCTTTGGGTACAAAAGAAGACAGAATATTTTATAAGCCAGTTTTTCAGAAGAGTAATACTTTTGTGGATTGGGAAAGTTTTATATAATATTACATAAAAGAAAAGTGGAATCTGGAGAGCAAAGCACTAGCCTGGGGCTTCCTTGGTGGCGCAGTGGTTGAGAGTCCGCCTGCCGATGCAGGGGACATGGGTTCGTGCCCCGGTCGGGGAAGATCCCACATGCCGCGGAGCAGCTAGGCCCGTGAGCCATGGCTGCTGAGCCTGCGCGTCCAGAGCCTGTGCTCCGCAACGGGAGTGGCCACAACAGTGAGAGTCCTGCATACCACAAAAAAAAAAAAAGTATTTATTATCTAGTATTTATGAAACCTCTAGTTTAAAAAGCTATAAAACAAAAAAAAAAAAAAAAAAAAAAAAAAAGCACTAGCCTGGATGTTACAGACTAGTTTTTTCCTTAAATGTGTTGTTTTAGTAAAGAAGAAAACTTGTCACAATATTATCAGTTACACAAAGATATCAAAATAGTGAAATATACCATAATGAATATTTTTAAATTCCTAATACTGACTCCTCATTTTATCAATAATAAATTGGGTTGGCCTACACATCAGTTTCCCTCATTTCCTCATCTAAAAAAATTGAGATAATTGAACTTCAAGAAGTTATAGGAAGATAGTTCTCAAGGAAGAACATTCTAAAAATTAAATATGTTTAAAATTAGAATAGACTGCCTGTGAACCAGTTTCCCAGCCTTCCTTCTCATGGCAATGGTCAAGCAGAAAAATTGGTATCACACCCTTCTGTTTGAGTCTGTTTCTATTATGACAGTATAACTAATTGTTTTGGCAATCTAATGAATTTAATTGACCCAGGAACGTTGTAAAAAGAAATGTGACAATTGTAATGACTTCCCCACTTTTCCAGATGGTCCTTTCTGAACTAAATGAACTGCAGGTAGCCTCATAACCCATCTGTCCAAGCCAATGACCAACCTGGGAAGCTAGGGGATATGTGGAAGGGAATGTCGGAATAGCGTTGTCACGGAGTTTGACGGCCACATGCTTAGAGGAGCTTCTTTCCCTGCTTTGACATGTACCACTCTCAGTTACCATTCTGGTTCTGGAGTGACTGTAAGATCCTTATACTGAGGGCTGTTTTATTCTTCTTTGTATCCCCAATGCCCACCATAATATCTGTCTTACAGTGGATGCACAATTGTTTGAAGAATGGATAAATGAATGATTGAATGAGGTCTCTCTCTCAACTATAACTTCCCCTCACGGTGCCTCTATAATGCTAGTCATGGAAGAAGCTATGAGAGGTTAGAACATTTTGCTCCCCTCAGGAAAATTTAACAGGCACACATACACAAACACACAAGCTATTTAAACAACAATATAACTTCATACATAATTGTTAAACTGAGAGGTCTGGACCTGCTCTTTCCAATATGGTAACCAGTAGCCACACGTGGCTATCAACCACTTGAAATGTGGCTGATCTGTATTGAAATGTGCTGTTAAGTATAAAGCATACACCATGTTTTGAAGATTCAGTATAAAAAAAAATGTAAAATTTATCATTAATAATTTTTGTGTTGATTACATATTGAAATGGCAATATTTTGGACATATTAGTTTAAAATATATTAATAAAATTAATTTCACCTTTTTAACCTTTTTAATATGAATAATAGAAAATTTAAAATTATATATGCAGCTCACATTTGTGGTTATTATATTTCAACTGGATGGTGCTGGTCTACTCTTAGTGGAAGGCAGTGTCAGTCAGAGGTGAGGTAGGCAAACCAGGCTCCATGGACCAGGTGAGATTTGAGCTGCTTTTTGATAAGTATAGATGGGCCACAGGGAGATATCTTCGGTTGTCAGCCCAGCACATGCAAAGGAAGGCGCAATTACGGCACTTGCCTAGAGGCAATGGACACACTGATTTGGCTGGAATGATAGTCTGCATTGGAGAATCTGGACACGAAGTTAAAAAGGCAGATGAGGGTCAGACTGAAAAGTGCATTCTGTGAAGGGTAATGAAACCCTTTTAGAAGTGGGGAGCCACCCAGAGTTTCGAAATAGTTTGGTGATGGGAAAAAACAATGTTTTTAAAAGCACTGTGGAGTGCGAAAGCAAATCTTTTGTTATTAAAGGGTGGGGTCTGAAAGTTGGAAGACCTGTTTGGAGGTTTTGAGTTAATGCCACCAACCTATGACCATACAAGTGTTGCCTAGAGAGGTAATATATGAAAGCTAAGTCACAGACTCCATTCTATGCCTGTACCACTGACTCACTCCAGGCCTTGCTTCCTTAGCTGTCAAATAAGAATAATCATATCCCCCTGACTAATGAGAATGACCATAGTAAGAATAAAGGAGCAATGTGCACAGGAAAGTGCTCTGGAAAACATAAAGTGCTTTGTAAGACTCTAATTCCTATTATTTGTAATATTTTAGTAATAAAGATGAATCTTGATTGATGAAGCAATCCAATATCCAGTACTAATAAATATATGAAAATTAATTTCCTCCTGAGCCTTTCCAAAAGTTAAGATTCTAAAATCAGAATAACCTTGCCAAGAAATTCCAGCCAGCCCTGCCTGACTTGAGCAAAACTTAGGAAAGATGTCATTACTTCCACCTATTACCGCTCCCACTTACTTAATACCCGAAACCGGTTTTCACTTAGAACACTCAATGTCCATGACGTTTCTCATAAACTTCTTAGCCTTTGTCTCTTCCTTTCCTATTAAGAGTCATTCTGGGGCTTCCCTGGTGGCGCAGTGGTTGAGAGTCCGCCTGCCGATGCGGGGTACACGGGTTCACGCCCCGGTCCGGGAAGATCCCACATGCCGCGGAGCGGCCAGGCCCGTGAGCCATGGCCTCTGGGCCTGAGCGTCCGGAGCCTGTGCTCCGCAGCGGGAGAGGCCACAGCAGTGAGAGGCCTGCGTACCGCAAAAAAAAAAAAAAAAAAAAGTCATTCTGATAGCCTAAGGTGAGGGCTTGCTTTGGGAAGTTTATCACAAGAATTACATAGGCAATTGGCTACTATCCATAATTATACTATGAATAATTGAATTTGCACATTTTTCTTGCATGGCCACTGCACAGTTGGCCAGGCTTTACACTGCACAATGCCAGGAAGGGCATTCACATAAACTACAATGTGAACAGTGCCCCCTGGAGCTGTGCAAGTAGCAACCTACTCAATTGTATGGTGGAGTGCTGGTTCTTGTCTTTTTCTGATGTTCAAGAAAGAGAAAGTCCTTACGTGCCTTGACATGAATAATAATAATAAAAGGTCACTTAATATCACAGTGGCTCTTTTACACCTTTTTTTAAAAGTCTGGACAAAAGTAATTAACACTTATTAAGCAGTTACTGTAGGCTAGGGATCATCTATATGCTTTAGACGTGTTAATTCATTTAATCCTCGCAACAAACCTATAAAGTAAGTAGAATTATTATTTCTATTTTACAGATGAGGAAACTGAAAAATTAAGTAATGCTCCCAAGTTATTCAGCTGGTACATGGTGAGACTGGGATTTTAATTCAGGAATTCAGGATCCAGTGTCCAATTTTCTATTGCTACATTTGACTGCATCCTACACAGTATTTAAAATGAGCTCTTGAAAACAGCCATGGGTATTTGTTTTCACCTCTGTCATGATACAAGGCTTAACTTTCTAAATTGAGCTTATTCTAAATATCAGTTATTAAAAATTGAACCTTCCTAAATTAATTTTTAAGTAATTAAACATATATCATTTTTTTTCAATTAAAGAATTTGCCATCATTAATACAAAGCTTATTAAAATACTTCCAGGTTTTTAAATTTTTATTTAAAAAAGTCTCTCTATATATAAAGCTATGAGGTATCATAAAATATAAATCACTCATTTCTTCTGAATTGTACATATGAAATTTATTCCAACATGTATTGAATGACCTCTATGATCTGACACATAAATAATCATTGTACTTAACCAATTATAAAAATAATATCACCAACCTATGTATATATATTCCATGAATTTTTCCAAAAATAATTAATAATTAAAAAAAATCAAGTTTAAAATTTGTAATGATTTCTTTGAATTACCCAATTCATTCTATAAATTTCCCAGAGGGGAGTGGGTGTGATCCATTCTTATCCCATTCTGAGAAGAGTGGTCATGCCCTAGCCTGGCTAGGACTAGCTCTGTGGATCCAATGCACAGTCTAACAGTCTGTCCTTCCCCACACTAAAGTATCAGATTACTCTAAATAAAACCTTGGCCAACTCAGGAAAAAGCAATTGTTATTATATATGATATTTAAAAATCCAGTCACCCATATCCTCAAAATATATTTATTGTGGACCTACCATACTCAATAGGAATCTTAATGATATAACTACATACATTTTAATTAGCAAATAGGGCATGTGAATATCAAATCACTTTATGTCATATGCTTTTTAACCTAATAATCTCATTTGCTTTTAATAAAATATTTCTAATTCTTACATATGCCAAGGTATTTAGACCATATCAATGCTTTAAAAACCATGTAGTCAAAATTATAAAAATAGGGCTTCCCTGGTGGCGCAGTGGTTGAGAGTCCGCCTGCCGATGCAGGGGACGCGGGTTCGTGCCCCGGTCCAGAAAGATCCCACATGCCGCAGAGCAGCTGGGCCCGTGAGCCATGGCCGCTGAGCCCGCGCGTCCGGAGCCTGTGCACCGCAACGGGAGAGGCCACAACAGTGAGAGGCCCAGGTACCGCAAAAAAATAAAAATAAAAAAAAAAAATAATAAAAATAACCTGGAAACAAAGGGAAGAAAGAAAAGTAAAGAAATTCTCAAGATATGGAGTGTTTTCTCCACACTGGTATTTCCTAGACTCTAGGCCACAAAAAAAGAAAACTTCGTTGATTTACATTGTCAAGAAGCTATTGAAATATTTATTACATATTCAAAATACTTATATGAACAAAGTAACTAAAACATCTAAGTAGCCACATATAAGTATTAATGAACTAAAATAGGAAAGATTTTTTAAAACACTATTCGAAATAATGTAAGCCTATGATTATATGTCTCAATACATATATAAAGATCACTGCATTATTCAGAAGTGCCCCATATTCCTAGAAATACAAAAATAATCCCATTTTCACAATATTCCCTAAAATTGGAGAACATTCTTGTTGGCCTGACTTTAAAAGAGAGGATGGGAAACAGTAAAGGTCTGGCTGAGTGACTTCTCTAAGGGCTCTGATTCAATGAAATGATTGAACAAATAAGAAACACCTGTCTGCAATGCTCATTTTCCATAGTTCAGGGTTTGTCCTTCCTTTGCTTCCCAGGAAAACAGAAATCATGTCTTAACGTCTACTAGAAGAATCATTCTCCGTGGGGCTAGTACAAACATGATTCATATTTTCTGGATGACTCTTTCTGGTTTTCCTGTAAAAGACATTGTGCCTGGTCCATCCCTCCTCTCACGTGTGGCTGAGTTGTTCTTATGAACTGAGAAAGTAGTACAATGACTACATTGCTCTGGTCTTTTCTCCCAAGTAACTCATGTTATTGTTTAATAAAGAGCAGCAAAGTTGTAAAATCATTTTGAGACCTGTTAGAACCACAAGTAATGGTTCTTTTTCATGACAATTTTAAAAAACACCCTTTGAAATAAAGATTTTACTGAAATTTTTAGAATGGAAGGGTCCTGGCATTCTATGTCCGGTATGATTATTCCTTTGGTTCAGACTGGGACCTGCCTCTTTATTATAACCTTCCAAAATAAACAATGTAATAAATCTACATTGTTTCAGGAATAACTGCAGCCTTTGCCAGGAAGAAATCTAAACTATCATATAACTTTCTTTCTATGACTAGTTTTTTTTCTATTTATTTACACTGACTTTGTTTAGAATCTAGTGTAGTGGTGATGTGCATGCTTTAGAGTCAGGCTGCAGGGGTTCAAATCCTGGCTCTCCTGCGGCTGTTAGTTGGGGCAAAGTACTCATTCTCTCATGTCTCCATTTCTTCATCCATGAAATAAGGATTACAATGATAGAATCTCCTTCAGAGGACTGCCATACTAAGTGAGATAGTAAACATAAAGCTCTATGAATAGCAACTGACACAGAAAAATAGTCATTTTTTTCTTCTGATTTATTTTTCACAGTCTTTTCCCTACCAGATTCTCTTCAGATTAGGTAATCCGTGAGTCACAAAATAGTGGTTAAACATCTGCTGAGGGACAGGTATTGTACGAATTGCAAGAAGAAAAATAATACAGAAGCAATGATTTGGGAAGTTTGCAATTCTCCTGGCTCGATATCACAATGCACATAAAGCCATAAGAAAAAATAAATCATGGTAAACCATTACGAGCGAAACTGCATGTTATAGAATATGTGTTGTACAAACACAGAAAAGGAGACATCAGTAAGGACAGTTTCAGGGAGACTGTTGGAACTTGAAATGATCTTAAAGGATGAGTAATATTTAAGTCTGTAAAGGGAAAGAAGAATGCATTCCAGGGGGAAAATGACACAGATGAAGGTCCTGTATGCTTTTGAGAAAGTGAAGACCCTGGCCCACCTGGCTTCATTTTATCTTTATTTTTAGTTTTTTTCAGATCAGTATGAATATTAAGCTCAAATTTAAATTGAACTAGTAAGGCAGAGATGCGCAGATCCATGTCCCACAGAAAACAACACTAGTGGTTGGAATAGCATATCCCGATCTTTTACGTTTCATTCTCTAAATTAGACTAGTTCCTTTCCACTCTCTTCACTCTTATATGACTAAGAAAATGCCTTACCCTGCAATTGCAACTAACTAATACAGCATTGCCTTTGTACAAGTCAGTAGCGTAGGTCATGGCGTTTAATAATCTCCTATGGCACTTTCTGAAGCTTATCACAATGATGCTCATCATTGTTTCCCAAAGCAATAGCTTCCATAGCTCCAGGGAAGTGTTTATAGAGCAGCCAGGTAAGAAATGTCTGGTTGCTGCAACAACTGTTAGAATTTTGAAAAGTCCAATAGATTCTCCTGTGTACCATCATTGAAATGCTGTAGTCAGATTAAAGAACTGAACGAACTTGTTTATACAAAGAGTATTTTCTTTTTTTTGGAAGGATTTTGTCCTTTGAATACTGCATCTCCAAATCTACTTCTTTTGAAATAGAAACAAACTACAATATGAACAGCAGAATGTAAAAACCAGGATTATTATCTTATATAATTACTTATTTGAAGAATTCACATTTAATTTGACTTTATTTAAATGTCTACAGGTGGTCCTTTTGGTTCATGGAGAATTGAGAATAGAGGTAAAGTATGAAAAAGTTTTTTGTAATTAAAGTAATAGTTTAGTTAAAAAATTAAAATTGTACTCAGGAAAAATAAATATTTAATGTTTTAAATTATTTAATAATTTAATTGTGAAAATATAATTAAAATTCTAATTGCTAACCTAATAATATTTAAATACTAGCAAGAATAAGTGTCATTATTGTAACTTATCTCATGCATTCTTTGTATCTTAAATAAGTCAACAGGTTTTCGTTAAACCTGTCTTTTATGCACAGAATAGTTAGATGTTGTGGAATATATATAGAAAATATAAAATATGATTAAATGCTAATATTAAAAATCATATAGCTCTGTAGCTATTCTAGTTATTTAATGTTTCTTCTTTGCTTGACAGTGTGAGGGAGAGAAAATTAGATATTTAACAGTCTTAGAGATCTTGAAACATAGGAGGCTCCTCAACCTAGGTGTCTATAATTAATACTCAAAGCAAAAAGTTCCAACAATGTGCATAATAAAAATGGAATCCCTTTTTCCATAAGACAAAAGGACAACATGAAGAATATGAGACAGCGGTACAACAAGGCAAAAGGAGATACAAACGTGAATGGGTGAAATTTGCAAGACCCTGCAGAGAAGAAGAAGACAACTCGAGAAGAAATCCAATTGCCACAGTAAGTCTTATGAGCAGAAGTAATGTTTTCAGAATAGATGTACTAGATGTAAATTAAAATAACACGGCAATTCCAATTAGCATAATGCAGACTGAAGAGTCCACAGAACAAATAACCTGGTATCTTCAACAAAACAAAAAACACAGTAATAATAGTAATAACAATTTAAAAGAGAGACAGATGAAGGAGCTATAGCTTCTAGAGTAATAAAACGTAATTAAGAGGCATTTCAATCAATTTCAACGGATAAACCTTTTTGGATTCAGATTCTAGCAAACAAATAGAAAAATTATATGGAAAGTGCTTTGTTTGGGGCAGCAAATTATGCTCAGAGAATAAGATTTTTATCAGTAATTTATTTAACACGGGTTCACTGCAGGAGTTATAATAATTTCACAAGCCAATAACATATAAGATAATGTCTCTCAATAAACCAATAAATACCGTACTCCTAACCACAAGTAGATAAATCACACTATTGTTCCAGGCAAGGGAGAGGTTAAAGGAATACAGTACAAATGTAGTTGAGTTGTACTTTTCTAGGAGTTGGTTCTTGGGAGAGTCAGTTTAGTCAACCACAAGCTGATGTCCAGTGCAAAAACACAAGTCCCTTATCACTAGAGCACGTTACTAGGGAACAGAGGCGGTGGTACTGGCAAGCAAGATCGTGGTTTTCACCACTGCCAGGCAAAGAGCTCCCTTGCCCAGGCAGGAGCTAATAATGCCCCAACGTCTTCAAGAGAGCTATTTAGGTCAGCAAAGAGTTGCCTTGCCCAGACTGAACACTCTCAAGAGGTCCTCATAATCTCTTGATATTTAAAGCTTAAATGTCCCCCAGCCATAATGGCTGCTCCACATGTTCGTATCAATAAGCCCCAAACATTGCTCCCCAATAGCTGAGCTACTGTTTATTGACAGCCACGGATGTCCATGACGACATCCTGACACAGCTTCCTCAACGTAAGCAACTTCACTCTTAGAACAAAACAAATTTATTCTTAGATTTCTTTTTAAAGTGGATTTGAAATCATACCATACCAATACACAGCAATAAGATAATTAAAGATGGTTGAGAGTCAACATTGGATTGGCCATGTATTCAGAATTGTTGAAGCTGGGTGATGAGATATATCAGGTTCATTATACTCTTCTAACTTTATAATATATTTGAAGTTTTCCCTATTAAAAAGTTTAAAAAATAATAATAAAAGCAATGCATTCTAATATTAACACTTACTATATAATCCCTTTCCCTTTTTTTCTCCAGCTCCTCCTTTTTAAACTAAAATAAACGTCTTTTTTGTTTTTTTAATGTTACCTGCGAAGGAAGGGAGCATTCAGAAGTAGCCTTGTCAATATCAAGTGTCCTTGACTTTCTCCCAACCTTTCAACATCACCATGGTGACCACAATCTGGGCAAATATTCTAAAGCCAGAATGATTTACCAACACACTGGTCCATAGTGGTCAACAGAAGCAAACATTTTGCGTTTATTTCACACTCCTACTATCTATCAAGGCAAAAAAGGAAACAGCACAGTGTCAAGAAAGTGTGAATAAAATGAATAGCTGACTTGAGAGTATGGAGGAGAGGAGGGGAAGGAATAGGCCTGAGTGATGATCACCTTAACATTTTCGGTATTTTGGGCTACAGATTACTTCAGACTTCCACGCAACCCAGAATATTACCTACCACATTTCTGGAATAGGAATCGATCAGCCACCTTTGGGAATCTTCATTGTTGACAAAAACACTGGAGAAATTAACATAACAGCCATAGTTGATCGTGAGGTAACCCCAAGCTTCCAGGTAAGTTTGTGTCCTCGATATCGGCCACCCTTCCCCTGGTGCACAGTGGCTTTAGGAGGTTAATTTAGAAGAGAGATCAGTGCATGAATCCATCCACCAACAAATAACAATATTAGTCCCTCTACAAAGAGCCTCCCCTGGACTTCCCTGGCGGTCCAGCGGTTAAGACTCTGCGCTTCCTCTGCAGGGGGCGCAGGTTCGATCCCTGGTTGGGGAACTAAGATCTTGCATGCCTCGCAGCATGGCCAAAAAATTTAAAAATCAAATAACACAAAGAGCCTCCCCTTATGGTTGTGCCCCTGAAGGAATACCCCAGGAGGATGCATGAGCGCTCAACTCCAGCACGCTGCTTGCCAAGAGCTTCATGCTGCCAGGAGACACGTACCAGCCTGCAGGAAGGGGCAATTTGCCCAACTGGTACACCCAGAGTCGGCACTTTTTCCTGCTTTGTCTCCTCTCTGGGGAAATACTTTTCCTCTTTGCACAAAAGCACTGTACATGCCAGGAGAGGCCTTGTCTCTACAAGTTTTAATAGTAGGCAAACTAAAGTTTGTAGAATGTTAATTAACATTTCCCCTCCTTTTCTAGATTACCTGTCGTGCTCTCAGTGTCCTGGGACAAGATGCAGAGAAACCACTTATACTAACAGTCAAAATTTTAGATATAAATGACAATGCTCCAGTGTTCTCACAAAGTATGTTCACGGGTGAAATTGAAGAAAATAGTGCTTCGAGTAAGTCTTTTGCAGTAACTACCATTTTTAATTTTTTTTTTCAGATACAAGTATCACTATAGTACATCATTTTTACAAGCTAATTTATCCTCTTAGTTTCATCAGTAGTTTTGAAGAAAAATTCATCAAGATAACCTGAGTCTTCCTTTCTAATATTTGTGGTTGAGCTACTTGTCCACTGCCAGTGTACTATATTTCCAAGTCGTGATTGTGTTATCAAGTCAAAGCTTATCCTCGTCACAAAGCTAAGGAGGTGGCTTTAGGCAACCTGGATGCATCAGTTATGCTTATTTAGATTATAAGGGACAGAGATACACTCACTACTTGGATAATGGGGGGGAAGGGAGAATTATAAGGCCAACCAGCAAGGGAAAAAATAAAGAGAAAATAGTCCCAACCTCAACACAACCAACCAAGGCTTAGTGAGAAGTGGAGGATTTTTACAGAAGGCAGCGCAGCTCACCTGCTTGACAGAGACAGTAAGAGATATTGCAAGTGACATGTAATATTTTTTTAGCGCACAGATAGTTTTTTTGTCTTTTTTTTAATTAATTAATTTATTTTTGGCTGTGTTGGGTCTTCATTTCTGTGCGAGGGTCTTCTCTAGTTGCGGCAAGCAGGGGCCACTCTTCATCGCGGTGCGTGGGCCTCTCACTATCGCAGCCTCTCTAGGCGCGGAGCACAGGCTCCAGACGCGCAGGCTCAGTAGTTGTGGTTCACGGGCCTAATTGCTCCGCGGCATGTGGGATCTTCCTGGACCAGGGCTCGAACCCGTGTCCCCTGCATTGGCAGGCAGATTCTCAACCACTGCGCCACCAGGGAAGCCCCACACTGTTTTGTTTTGTTTTTTTTTTAACATCTTTATTGAGGTATAATTGCTTTACAATGGTGTGTTAGTTTCTGCTTTATAACAAAGTGAATCAGTTATACATATACATATGTTCCCATATCTCTTCCCTCTTGCGCGTCTCCCTCCCTCCCTCCCACCCTCCCTACCCCACCCCTCCAGGTGGTCACAAAGCACCGGGCTGATAACCCTGTGCCATGCGGCTGCTTCCCACTAGCTATCTACCTTACGTTTGGTAGCGTATATATGTCCATGCCTCTCTCTCGCTTTGTCACAGCTTACCCTTCCCCCTCCCCATATCCTCAAGTCCGTTCTCCAGTAGGTCTGCCACACAGATAGTTTTAAGATTTTTTTAAAAAAATTTTTAAATAGATTTATTTAATTAATTAATTTATTTATTTATTTTTGGCCGCGCTGGGTCTTTGTTTCTGCGCACGGGCTTTCTCTAGTTGCGGAGAGCAGCTTGCGGTGCGTGGGCTTCTCCTTGTGGTGCCTTCTCTCTTGCGGAGCACGGGTTCTAGGCGTGCGGGCTTCCGTAGTTGTGGCTTGTGGGCTCTAGAGCGCAGGCTCAGTAGTTGTGGCGCACAGGCTTCGTTGCACCGCGGCAGGTGGGATCTTCCTGTACCAGGGCTCGAACCCATGTCCCCTTCATTGGCAGGCATATTCCCAACCACTGTGCCATCAGGGAAGCCCTCTAGTTTTAAGATCTTAAAAGACAAAGATCAGTTTGAAATTGTGCTGAATATTTCATGTGAACATAATGTCAATCTTTACATATTCTTTAATAAACTTCTTCCGTATTCCTAGACTCACTGGTGATGATCCTAAATGCCACAGATGCAGATGAACCAAACAACTTGAACTCTAAAATTGCCTTCAAAATTATCTCTCAGAAACCTGCAGGCACACCCATGTTCCTCCTAAGCAGACACACCGGGGAAGTCCACACTTTGACCAATTCACTTGATCGAGAGGTAAAGCAAGGCACTGGGGAGCGTTCAGTAACTCAGGATTCGGTTGTAAGAATGCTAAGAGAGGTGACTCCTTTCTACCTGAGAATGAAAGGAGGAGGGAATAGAGGTTCCCAGGACTCACGTGGCCCAATCTGGGGAAACTCCTTGCATCCTAGTGTGATTCTGCTGGGGTGGGATGTGTACTTGAGACCTGCGCAATCAACTGTACCTAAGGAAACAAGTATCAGCATACCTGTGGGAGTTAAAGCGGGGGAGTAAGGGAAGGCATTGCATGCACGACAGAGACTGAACTGGGGTTAATCCCTCATATGATGGAGGAGAAGGAAATTTCTTAGATGGAGGGAGAAATTTCTATCTGGAGTAAAGCCTTCTCTGGTGTCGTGCTTTTTCTCCTTACTTCTTTCAAATCTACCCCTACTTCCGGAATACTAAAGAATCCTCCTCCTCTCTCTGCTCCATTGTCCTACCACCACATCTCCATCAATGCACGCTACCCCGTCAGACTCTGTGTAACTTTTATACAAGTGATTTTCCAAACAGACCAGCAGGGAAGCTCTGTGAGTTTCCCTCCGATAAACATCCCACCATCCTCATTATCCCTTTTTGCTCTAAGTGTACTATCCTGCCCTAAGAAGCTCAGAGAAAACCTGTACTAGCCTCATAAAGACTTCCACCTAACCATCCAGAGCCCCCACATACCTCCTCTATCATGGGCAATGAAGTGCGTGTGGTCCTTCTAGAGAATGAACCATGAACTTGAATATTTTCACCTCCTTCCCATAGGAAGCAAGTAGTTGTCATTCGTATCTCTGGCACTAGAGATTAATCATTTTTCTTTATTTTTTTCTCCAAATTTAGCAAGTTAGCATGTATCAGCTGGTTGTGAGTGGTACAGACAAAGATGGAGAAGGACTTGCAGCACAATGTGAATGTAGCATTAAAGTGAAAGATGTCAACGATAATATCCCAAGCTTCACAGAATTGCAGGTGTGCCTTTCATTCCTTGAAAAATAATTCTATATATTTTTTAGGTTATACCTTGCCATCCTAATCCAGGATTTGCCTGCTTGCTGGCTTTTATTTAAGCTCTCTGCACTTTTCTTTTAAAATAAGCTATTGTAAAATATAAGAATTCAGTAACCAGCAAGGAGGCAATACATAATTAGAGAATTAATGACTAATGCCATTCAGAACGAATATAATTCATTTAGATAAAACCTGCCAGTGAGCCTTAAAGTTTGCTTTTTTTTTTTTTTTTTTTTTTTTTTTTTTTT